CTGGTCTGACATAGAAGGAGTGTTGAGTTGTTTTCTTTCGTAAGGTCACTGGCGCTACGCAATAGTGCGTCACTTGGAAACCTGATGTCCCGCTGATTCCTTTGATCATCACCGTCCTCTTCGGCGGTAGCGGTAGAGTCTGGAGGTAATTCCTCTCACAGAACTGTTGACAGATCAGCGAAGTTTCTGCGCCTGTATCAAGCATAGCCATGACCTTTACATTTCCCACCTTGACTTCATGAGTCTGCGCTTCTATTCGCTTGGGCGTGTTTCCATCATGGAGTTTCAACACCCTGATTCTGCAATGGACTTGAATCGGATCGTTTGATCGTAGGTTCAAACATCCGGTCGCACATCGTAGAATTCTCGGATTCTTTTTCCGGATGGTACGTCACGCGCTTGCCCCTTCGCAGCGTAATTATCGTTCGTGACCTTTGGAACCTCGCGCGTTTGCCCCTTCGCTTGCGCGTTTTGGTTGATGTCTCTTGAACTCAACCGATCAAATCTCTTTGGAACGTTAGTTCTTGCATCGTAAAATTCTTGATTTTGTCTTTCGGGTTGTAAGTCACACGCCTGCCCCTTCGCAGCGTTATTCGTGACCTTTGATGCTTCGCACGTCTGCCCCTTCGCTTGTGCGTTCTCGTGACCTTTCGTCACTTCTTTAATAACTTCATACTGTGACCTTTTATTCCGCACGTCTTTGGACGGCTTTTCTCGCAACTTCGATTATTCTCTTGCGTGATACGATCCGCGAGGGTCATCTCACCGTCTTTGTCTTCCAGTTCTTCTGGTGACCTTTCATAGACGATCATCTTGTGATCGTTTTCTTTCATCCACTCTCTGAATTTCTTGAAATTTCTTATTTGTCGAGTTGGATCGACTTGTGATGATAATCCGTCAGTTCTGGCGGTGACCTTTCTTTGTCATTCCGAGTGCTTGCGCAAAGTCGTATGACCTTTCCTTTTGTGGAGTTTTCGCTAAGTCCGGTGACCTTTCTGGTCGTGACATGAAAAATCCGCCATTTGGTGACCTTTGTAAAGGCACTTTCTCGCCGTATTGCGGCGGTAATTCACCCTTCTCGTTTCTTTCGTAGAACTGACGGCTATTTTCGTTGAGACGTTTCTTTTCATTGAAGTACTCTTGTACTTTCGGTTGTGTAGCTTTCACTAGTTCTTCGAGATTCTTTCTCGCCCGCCAATCTTGTTTCTCTCTTTCTTCCGAGTAAGCTTCTCTGGTAATTCTTGCATCTTGCGGTGACCTTTGTGGCAGAGGAACTTGTTTCCACATACCGTGCCGTCTATAGGTGACCTTTTGCCACTCCATCTTTTGCTGCAACTTATTTGCTGAATCAAGAGAGTCGTCTGAGACTTGCTGTGCTGCTTCGCCAACTTTCACTGTTTGCTGCGCCATTCGCAGAGTCAGGTTGCTTTCTTGACCTTTCGGTTCTACGGCGACTTCACCGTGATCTTTCTCTTTCAGTGACTGTTGAGTCTCTTGCACTGGCTGTCTCTCGTGACCTTTCACTTCTTCAACTCTCTCTTGAGGTGACATTTCAGTCTCTTGCGCTCCTTGCGCTGTCACAACCTTTTCGTGACCTTTATCAGCAGCTTTCCTCTGTTGGAGTGTTTCATTCATATGCTCGAAGAATTTCGGTCAATCTGGACCGTCTTCATGTGTGTGCGCTGCACTATCATGGTTATTCCGTCTTCTTCAAACTTCTTTTCGATGAACTTCTCGTTTTCCGAATCTCCAGCTTTTAACCTCGCTACTGTCTTTGCGAAGTAATTCTTCCTCCTCGTCGTCTCGCTCTCTGCTTGAGGCGATGACCTTTCGGTCTGCTGTCCTTGCAGCGCCACGTTACTTTCGTGACCTTTCGGCGCAGTTACTTCCTGCGGTGACCTTTGGGTCTGCCCCGGCTGCACTTGCTGCAGCGTCACGTTACTTTCGTGACCTTTCCTTGCAGTTACTTCCTGCGATGACCTTTGGGTCTGCTGTCCTTGCAGCGTCTCGTTACTTTCGTGACCTTTCGTTGCAGTTTCTTTCTGCTGATCCGGATGCAGAGTTGAGGATATTCCGTCAAACCTTTTCCCCGCAGTTACTTTCTGCGGTGACCCCTCGGTCGGCCCCGGTTGAGTCAAGTTACTTTCTTGACTTCCCGCAGTCACTTTCTGCGGTGACCTTTCGATCAAATTCTTCCGTCCTTGCGGTAATCTTTTGATAGCCTTGCCATCACCTTTCTGAGCCCCTTCGCTCGCTTTCGAGTTACTTCCTCGAAGCTTCGGATTTCTTTTCCGGATCTTTGGTGACCTTTCACCGTTTTCTTTTTGCGCCGTGGTCCTTCCCTGCGGCGGAGCACCTTGCTCTCCTATGTCCGGTGGTTTCGGTTCCGGGCGATCAGTAGGCTTACCGGCGCCTACTGACCTTGAACGTTTCCCTGGTTCATGCCCTGCTGCGGCGCACCTTGCGCCTGGCCGGCACCATTCGCCGGGGCGAAGTCAAATTCTCCGCCTTGCTGACCAAAACCTTTTTGGCCTCCACCGGCAAGGCCGCTTTGCTGCCCGCCGTAGCCTCCCTGCTGCTGTTGCTGGTAGCCACCTTGACCACCGCCATTCCACTGGCCACCTTGACCATCGAAGTTTCCTTGGCCACCTTGACCAGTTGTTCTGGCCACCTTGACCGACGTAATTACCCTGGCCACCTTGACCACCGTAATTACCGTTACCGCCTCCTTGGCCCGGGCCGGCATAGCCGTAACCCCGGTTGCCTCCGCGGCCGAAGCCTCTGCCCCTTCCTCTGAAGCCTCCTTTGGCCGGACAATACTGTCCGTATCCTCCGCCTTGGCCACCTTGACCGGTGAAGTTACCCTGGCCACCACCTTGATTTCCGAAATTGCCGTGGCCACCTTGACCGGCAAAGTTCCCTTGGCCACCTTGACCTCCATTATTCCATTGGCCACCTTGACTTCTGAAATTTCCTTGGCCACCTTGACCAGCATACTGTCCGCCTTGTCGTGCTTGCGGGACATATCCATTCGCCATGGCCTGTCGCCAACCACCTTGGTTGCGCAGCTGCAGCCATTCTTCATACACAATCCTATTCGGATTCTGGTTCCACGGTGTTCCCGCGAACGAGCACCCTTGCGTGTGGTGGTTGCCGTACATGCAGTTTCGGCAAGTCAACGCGTTGTTTGCCACCTATCCATCTATCATGGTGAAGAGTCTTTCCATCCGCGACGCATATCGGGTACCTTGGTTCCCTTGCTGTCCGCGGTTTTCTCTAAAGTTTCCTCTTCCACCACCGTTAAATCCTTGGCCAACGTAGCCCGGATTTACTTGTGCCATTCCTTGACCTGCGAACCCTCCATTCAGGGCATTTCCTTGCGCATTTCCTTGCACATTCTGTGCTGGTCTGGCCACTTGCTGGGCTGCTGCTTGGATGGCCGCAATTGTTGGCCTGGTCACTTCTTGGACCGCTTGAACCGCATCTGCGATTGTTGGTCGGGTGACCTCTTGTACTGCTGTTTGTATCGCCGCGATCGTCGTGTACGATATTTGACCTTCATTCCGTTCGTTCCGTTCATTGCTAAAGGTCACTTCTTGGCTGTTCATTGCCGGGAATTCGACATCATACCTTGGTACTTGCGGTGGCGGGGGTTGATTTTGTCGCCCATTCGCGACTTCTGTCACCTGACCCGATCGAATAACGACGTAGTCGTCTCGGTTCCGATTCCCTCTCGTCACCTTATATTTGTCTTCTCCCGCCGACCATGTGTGGAAGAATTCTTTGATGTCCGCTGGAGTCTCGAATGTTCGAGCTCTCATTGCTTTATAAAGGTCACTATCGCTCTTGCATCCGTCAATTAAGAAAGCGATCGCCTGTTTTTCCGTAATAGTTTTCTTTGATTTGAAGCGGATCATCGCTTAATAGAACTGATCCAGCGACTCTTCACCAACTTTGAACTTCCTAGCCATGGCTTCGCGTAAGGCGAGGACCCCTTCGTCTCGATCGCCAAACTCTTCCTTAAATTTTGTCATCCATTCATCGACCGTCATCTCATCATTTTCTTCTCCGAGAATTTCTCGTTCACCGTCGAACCAAACTTCTGCATCTCCCTTGACCACGTTGGCGACTTCGAGTATGACTTTTTCGTCACTCATCCGGAATGCCCTTTTCGTTTCCTTGACTTGACGGATCCAACCGAGAAGACTGTCCCGGTTGCCGTTGTAATCAACCAAGTTTGACTTTCTTCCCATTTGTTTCACTATTCCACGGAACTCATATTGTTCTCGTCTTAAACGTTCTTGTTCGGCTCGGAATTGCGCACGTTCGTCCCTTTCTCGTCGATCTCCGTGTTGTGCGAAGCCTTCGTGTTCGGGTTGTCGTTCGTGCGGATCCTCAACGTTTTCTGGATCCTTGTGGACGGTGGTTTCTCCTTGTTTACCATCTGTTTCATATTGGCGTGGATCATCGCTGTAGGTTGGCCCTGTCTGTTGTGATGATCCGCCGAAGAATGGTCCCGGGTACCCCTTCGTACGTTTGGTTGACCTTTTCTCGGATTCCTTTTTAGGAGGTTCAGTGCCTCTTCCGTTCCCCATTCCTGTCTTCTCGGGCTTCTGGAAGTTTGCGCTGAATTCGTGGGTATGAATTTCGGTAGCATCGCCGTACTTCGGTGGAGGTGTTGGTGACCTTCCCTGCTTCTGCGGTTCATATTTATTTAGTTGTTCGTCTTTATGCTTCAATGACATTGAAAGAGCTTTATTCTGATCTTCAAGTTTCTTGACCTTTCCTGAAAGGTCATCTCTTTCTTTCTTAAGGCTGCCATTCTCTGCCTTAAGATGCTCGATCTTTTTCATCTCGCCATGAATCGAGAGAGTTCGATCATTCTCGCCCTCCTCATATGCTTCTTTATCTCCCTTCAACTTCTGCATCGCTTTTTCAAGCTTCTCATACCGCCTTCCAGCTGAGGTTACCTGCTCTTTTACCGTAGCCAATTCATCATCTCAGGACATCACCAAGGTCGTCATCCCTAAAAGGTCACTTCCCAGCTTAGCGATGTCTTGCTTCTGTTTATGGGTGAGAACTTGCCCTTCTCTGTTCTCAACTTCAAGCACCGTGACCCGTTCGTCAAGTAGTTGTGCGTGAGTCTTCCATCTCTGAGCTTCCCTTTTGTGACCTTGAACTTCGTCACTTAACCGCTTGACTTCTGCTTTTGTTTTCTCGCTGAGTTCCTGGAGCTTTTGAGCGGCTTGGTACCTCTGTTTTTCTGTCTCCCCTTGTTTCTTCTTCCTTTCATTCAATTCCATCTGTAGCTTTTGATTGTTTTCTTCGTATGTTTCGAGATCTTTCATTAGCTCCGTAATGTCTGCTGTCAGGCTGGCTACCCTTCCCGTGACCTTTGTTGCGTTTGACAGACATTCATCGCGCTGCGTTTCAACTTCCATGACCTTTGACTTCAAAAGGTCACACTGTTCCTTCAATTCCGCTATCTCCCGTGACCTTTCGGCTGACTCTTCGGACAGGCTGTTGTTGAGGTCTTCCACGGCGAGTATGCCTTCCAAATCCTTATCGTCAACCATTTTCTTCAGTTCTTCTGCCATTTGCTTCTGCACTTCATATCTGACTTTCCATTGCTGCATTTCATCTTCCAGCGTGACCTTTTCTTGTTCTAACACGAACACTCTTGATTCCATTTCGATGGTTTTGTTCCTTTGCTCCCGTACTGCGGCGAATGCTTGCTCATCTTTGTTCTCGAGTTGTAATTCTAACTCTCGAACTCGTCGCTTCGAATCTGTTGATGCGGGAGTTTTAGGTGTCGGTGACCTTTCGTTGTCAGCCTTTCCTGACGCCGTTCCTATGAAGGTTTCTTCCGACTTTTCGTTAAAGGTCATCTGCAGGATTTCGTCCGCTTGTTCAGCTTCTTTCATTGCAGTGTGAAATGACATCTGCATTGTCTTGTCTTCATCGTCCGTAAAGTATCTTTCATCACTTGATGCTGGGCTGGTACCCTTCCCTTCCAGCCCTTTAAAGGTCATCAAGTCATCCGAAAGGTCATCCAGCTTGACCTTTTCTGCGTCTAACAGCTGATTGCTGTTGACCTCGTCACCCCGTTCAGTGACCTTTTGACTGACTTCGTTCTCGCCCTTCTTTGACTGATCTGCGTTTTCCTCCTTGACCTTTTCGGCCGACTGTGACATTCCTCCGGTCTCGACCGTCAGGTCTGCTTGAAGCTGTCCATCAGCTGCCGTTCTCCCGTCGGTGACCTTTAACTGGTCTCCCTTGTTATCTCCGCTTTGACGTCCGGAGTTGCCATTCTCATCGCTCGAGCTCTCAATATTCTGCGTTTCTTTCAGAGCCTTTTGATAGGTGGCTAGCGCGCCGTGCGAATTTTTGCTAGCGCGCCGTGCGAAAATGTACCGCCTACTTTCTCGCTCAGCTCATCACCGACCAATGAAATTGAGAATTCTACGTCTGCGCCAATGGCGAAATTAATAAACAAAATTCTGACCTGATCGTCTCCGTGATCCAGAAATCGATCCTGCGCGTCCTTCCGCGAATCCTCCAAATCCTCCAGCGATTACACTGCATTCTCCTGGGTCAGATCGTTAACCCCTTTCGTTTCGTATCAACGGGACGCAGCGGTGCGTCGACCAAAAGACTTGCTGGCTGCGGGTCTTCTGTCGCGCCTTGACGTTGGCAACGACAGGGGCGCTCGACCACCCTTTTGGGTGAGCGCGTATGATGTGTGCGCTCTACACAGTAGAGACGCACCTGAACTCCACACCCGTCAGACCAAAAGTGGCTTGCCCAGTCGTGCCCCCCTTCGGGCTTCTGCCTCTTCTGGCTATCTTCCTCGGCGCTTCTGCCCCTCCGAACAAAGCTACTACCGTAGCCTTGCTCGCGTCAGAACAGTACAGCGTGCTCTTCACAGTAGAGACACACTGGTGCTGATCTGCTGTCGAGATCCAAGCGCCCTTCCTTCACCTTCGACTGCTTCGTCAGCGAGCCCTTCCTCGCACACTTCAGCACTCCGTCAGTTGGACGGGGAAAACTTCAGGGATTATCCTGGAGAAACACGTCTCTTGCTACCATATAAGACGGGAACCGTAGAAGGTTCACGTCACAGAATCGGAATTGACGTAATTCCGTCTGCCAAACAGATCTGGCAATGCTAAACGTCTAACGCTATGGAAAAGCGAAAAAAAGACGCGACTGCGAGAACTTTTTATCAAGACTAATTTCGATAGAAATTCAGAATGTGCAACTCTGCATTGCCGACTACGGCAAGCGCACGTAGCTGCCACACCATGCGGTTGCGCTGAGAACACCAAGGTGCTGCCACGCTAAGGCGGGCGCACAACAAAACACAACAGACTGCCAAGCTGGGTGTACGCTGAGTACGCCTGCGCTCATAGCCCGTAATAATGACACGAGGTCAAACGAATAGAGCCCAACCCGGATCCCGGTATAACACACGGCAGCGTTCACCACATCAAGTACCCACGAAGCGAAAGGTCACCAGGAATCCCGATGCTGCAGCCCGGCGGAACATCAGGTCTACCGTGGTCGTTCCTCCTGGATCATCCCTTGGCAATCCCACGCCCACAACACAGGCCGAATTCACTCCCAACTGGCGGAACTCCAGAGAGCGGTCGCAACAATGCGCGGCTCGACAGCGCAGCAGGGTTCCAACCAACCTGTACTGCAAGTCGGCGCCGCACGTACACAACGTTCTTTGTCCCCAGCCTCCAACCGCGTCACCACCGCCGACGGCAAGCTCGAAGACAGTGTTATGGCAATTGAAGCACCCTCTGAGGTTCCATCCGTCTTTGCACGACTCGGCGCCGCGCCGGTGACCATTGGATCAACTCCGTCACAGTACTCCCAGCGGTCTCTCCAAAACTACGGGAGCAACTATTAGACCCCAGCCAATTTGTCGACTTCACTGACCTTTTGCCCCAGAACCGCGTCCCGGCAAAACGCGGCCAAACGGGGACCCGCATGGCACTGGACGAGCCCACAGGCGAGTATGCCTTCACGTCGGCAGCAAAGAAGGAGCAGATCAATTCCCTGGCCAGCTGGAACCGTGCCTTCTCCGTCTTCATGGCGTACCGCACTTTCGTAGAACCAAAACTGACTCTTCCATTGATCAAGTACCTTGACCTCATATCCTTGATGGCGGATCCTGCTCGTAGATACAAACTGGAGCACGTGCTGGAGTACGATATTCAGTTCCGAAATTTCGCAGCTCAGTATCTCGAGGATCTCGGCATTTGGACCAGGCCACACGATGATTCCATCCAGGAGACCATCGGCAATTCGCCCGCGCTAGAACATTATTTCGTCGACCACCGGAGGCGGTAACCCAAAGCACAGTCGCGCCAAATGTAGCCGCTGTCATCAAGTCGGTTGCATAGCGGCAAACTGCAACGAAAACCAAGCCGGCGATCCAACCTCCTCCGGAGCTGCAGAAATTTGCCATAAATTTAACCGCGGATTTTGCTCGACGCCCTGCGTGAACGGCCGTAAGCACACTTGCGCCACCTGCGGATCGAGTACCCACAGAAACTACAGCCACGGCCCGCGCTGAACCTTGGATTCGGATTCGGAGTCGGATTACTCAAACCTGGACTTGGATCCCTTAACTTGGATTACATAAGCTGGATTACTTAAATTGGATAACTTGGATTTCCTAAACTGGACTAGTACTTTTTTTGGGGCTTGGATTGCATTTTCTTATACTGTTTTCTCCTGCCTATTCTTCTGTTATTCTGAGGTTACTCTTAGGTTCCCAAACCTTCTTAGGTATTTTTGGGTTTCTTAGGTCTTCTCAGCATTTGTTTCTGAGCTTAAGTTTCTTAAGTTTTGTAGGATGCTTACGTTACGTAGGATTCTTAGGCTTCATCGGTTTTTAGGTATTTTTAAAATTTCTTATTTTCCTTAGGACCTTAGGTTATAGAAAAGAGAAAAACCTTCGAACCTAAAAAACTGATAAACTTTAACGCTGCTATTGATACAGCATGACGTCATTCGACCCATTTTTGGTGATGACCTTTAGAGAGAAAAGCTCATCCACAGCATACTGCATACAATGCTTTTACATACTGATTTATCATTTGTTTTGTATTTTTTATCTCTTTTATCGGTTCAAACGTTTTCGGTTTTCTATAACCTAAGAAACCTTTGAAACCTAAGAATGACCTGAGAGTAACAGAAGAACCGGCAAAAGAAAGCAGTATAACAAAACGTAATCCAAGCCCCAAAATAATAGTACTTACTAGTCCACTTTAGTAAATCCAGGTTAAGTAATCTAACTTATGTAATCCAATTTATGTAATCCAAGTTAAGAGATCCAACTTCAAGTTTGAGTTATCTGAATCCAAGTTTTAGTACTCCGAATCCGAATCCTAGGTTCAGCGCGGGCCATAAGGCAGTGCTGTTGGTTGCACTCCAACGTGACTCCGGCGCCTGGCTAAATGCCCTTCAAGCACCTGCTCTACATACATTTTTGCAAGATGAAGAAGTCAGAGTTCGTGTTGCTATCCGATATGGGCTGCCCGTTGAGGAAGAGCACGACTGCGTAAACTGCGGAAGCCGAGTAGAAACAAACGGCCACCACGGTTTGTCTTGCCTTAGCAGCAACGGTAGATGGTCGCGACATGTTAAGCTGAACAATGAGACGAGGCGTGGCTTGGAGCTCGCCGGCTTTCCCTGCCAAAGCGAATTGGCTGGATTGTCTGACAAGGGCGGCAAGCGGCCGGATAGGATGACTCTGTGCGCAAAAGGAAAGGCCGTGGTATGAGATGCAACATGTTTTGATACTGTGGCCGTGTCTCATGCGCATGCTAGCTCGCTGAAAGCCAGGAGTGTCGCACAACTGGCGGAAAACAGCGAAGCGGCGGAAAAACGCTTTCGCCGAGGGTTTGGGCTATTTTTCCTAAGCTCTGGCGGTCGAGACGTTCGGAACTTTTGGAACATCGTTTGCGGAACTGATTCGTTTTGTTGGCCGGAAGATCCGCGACGCTACAGGAGAGCCTAGATCCTCGACCTTTTTAACCCTCCAACGCCCACTACACGAAGGGGTGCGAGTTTCTACCTGAAAACCCGGATTTCTCGATGAAAAAATTGAATTACATTAAGAAAGGGAATTCTTTGTGAGATTGTACTGGCACTAGATCACCGGCAACGACATGGGTGTTTAGCAACACCATTGGGCGCAAACGGTCCTAGTCATAAATACGTTTAATTCTATAATAATTCCGCGAACAGCAGCTGACCAAATTAAAGATGTTTATTGTATAGAGCAGAAAGAGGGCTTCAAAACAAGGGTGTTGCAGTGGTCAGTAAACTGACCACGGGTCAGCAAAACTGGAAAATAAGAGAAACGGTTTTTGCATGATGTAGTAATTAGTGGATAACTGAACACAGCAACTACAGATAGAGCGATTTTCAACAATGCAGTTCTCAAAATGCCATTACGCTGCCATTACACTGCATGCATTGTGCCACCTTGCACTTTTCCTGGAAGTAGCCGCTGCGTTTGGATCAGAAATCAGCGATGACGGTCAAGTAGCACGTGCGGTAGTGATGCGCCAAAGTTAGTAAGGAAAAGAACAGTTATTGTATAATTCAGTACGTGAGCAATTATCACAGCGAAACCGCTCAATATCCGCTGGGCAGATGCAATCGCCGGCGTATTTCCACTGCATCTGCTGCTGTTACTGTGCAGTTATGATCTTTTACCGTGGTTTCCGTTCGAGGATTACGGCCTTCGATCTGGGAATAGGCGGCAATGTGCCGGTTGCGATGATGGTTAAAAACCAGTGGCGTAGTTCGTCCTCCCAAACATAGTTGGCGTTTTGAATCTGCTTGCCCAATAACATGTCATGCGCAAAGGCAAACGAATATATGAGGCAGTTATTTCCTCCAGGGGATTGTCCATAGACCGGGACGTACTCGATGCTGATCTGACCCTTGCTGTCTGGAAGGGCAAACAGTTAGTGTAACTGCAGTTTCGGCAGGTCTGCGGGCAGTTTTGCCATATGTTTTATAATGATTATGGCAAAACTTTTTGATGAAATCCACAAAATCGTTTTGGCTATATCTCTGGATTGCGCGGGACACTCATATATCTTTTACCATGGCTGGAGAGCGAAGTGGGCATGTGGAAGATCTCGGTTGGGAATCGGTGAAGCTC